AGGAGGAGGAGGAGGAGGAGGAGGAGGAGGAGGAGGAGGAGGAGGAGAAGAAGAAGAAGAAGAAGAAGAAAAAAAAAAGACAGTTGCATTACAACCACAGCCTTAGAATCAAAGAGCATCTCCCAGAACTTCTGCCGTCTCATAGTTGGTTAATTCTGGCATAGCCCTAAGCTACACAGCGAAATGAAAATCTCATACAACAGAGAAAAGTGAAAATACAGTTCTTAAGAATGTAAGAATGAACCTCAGGGGGCCTTTGCAACCTGCCACAAAGGTACAGGGGTGTTTTTGACACTGTTTAGGTTGGGAAAAGGGAATTCAAGCTGATTGCCATAGCTGAGTTCATCACTTGTCCCTGGTTAGCACAGCCACAGGCAACAAACTGCTTCCCTGCCCTTGAAAAACAACACAAGAAAAGGAAAAGAACCCTTCCCAGGCTGTGTTTATACTATTGCTAAGGACATGATTCATCTAGTATGAGCTCTGCAGGAGACATCAGTTCTTCTCTGGTCCCCAAACCCCATGAGTTAGCAGAAGACACAACATCTTCATGTGATGGGAATGGTGCTGACATCTGCCCCAAAGTTTGGAAGCCACATATCTGCAGGGTTGTCCCTCAGTATCAGTGGCCAAGGCAGTCCTTCCACTCTTTGCCATCACTTGAGTCACAGCCGTGACCATCTTCCCATCAGTTGAAGAAGTGGTTCAATGGGACATTGAGGTCCCTTTGGGAGATGGGGAAAGATGTCAGGAAGCAGTGGCAGAGCAGTGTGGGAGGAAAATATACATTGCTGCTGTCATTGTCTCACTGGTCCCATTACCTGGCAGAATACCCATCAAGCTCTGCAAAGCCTGCTTCTCGGTAGCTGCTTTCTGTGCCTCAGTCCTTCCAGGTCTTGGAAACTTGGGCAGCACTCCACCAGGCCAGATAGATTCCCGAAGAAGCCGGAGGTACTGTGCCCAACGCTGGGGACTTGTTAGATTAGCTACTTGTACTTCCAGCCACCTGTGGTAGAAGAAAGAAGAAAGCTCAGAAAAGCCAGACATTTTCAAGGCATGTGCTGGATGTCTACCTTTCCTTTCAGACTCATATTTTGATATCCCAAGAGTGAGAAGACCCTGAGCTCTGAGGTAATTAGGTCATGGGCCACAGCCCTTGTGAATGTGACTATAGTGCCTTTTCTAGAGACCCAAGCCTCCAAACAGACGCTTCACCATTTACCATGTAAGAACATAGACAGGAGGAGTCTATGAACCAAAAGGTGGTTATATGACTGAGTCTGTCAGCGCCTGGACCCTGACTTCCTAGCCTTGAGAAAGGTGAGAAGCAGATTTCTATCGTTCACAAGCTTTATGGTCTTCCCTGTATTTCCTTATAGTCGTCCTAATAGACCTACAGAGCATAACTCATGTAAGCAGCCAGAATCTGCATGAACCATCTAAATGGAAACTAAGCCAGCTCAACAACTGGGAACACATCATTTCAACATACGCAGTGGTGATAATACTATACTAGGCACTGTAGAAAAGATGCTAAAGGGCTCTCACTTTGGAGCAGGCTGCACCTGACTTCTCTATCTCTCCTCTAGTGAGAACCATGGGGGCCTCAGTAACCTGTATACCCTACCTGGGAGTTAAGCTTTTGTAATTTTCAGTCTCTTACTCTTCCTCCTTGCCATTCTGGTATGTTCAGGGGAACTTCATGGCCTCTAACCTTACTTCAGGATGTCCTACACTCACACATTGCTTCAAGCCCCTCTTATCTGTGTCTGTAAAGCCTCACTTAAACACTGCTGCATGAAATGCCTCTCAAGAGGCCCAGCCAGAAAAGCTCTCCTTCTGATGACTTCTTTGGCACTTGATGCTATGGCAAAGGTGTATAGCTAGTATTTCACTCTGGAATAGGACTTCCTTTCCCATGTGTTTATAACTTTCCTGTAAGTACCACAAGAGTTCTATGTCTTAGACTTCTTGAAAATCCCCCAAATTACTTTGCTTCTCAAGATACATTTTTTGATTGGCATCTATTTTCATGGTTTTGATGATTTCTCCCTTTGTTTTGCTTTCAACATGAGTCAATAACTCTAAGGAGCAGATAAGTCAAATCTGGAGCTCATCTGAAAATTTGGAAGGTATGTCAACATTATTCTTTTTGTTTGTTTGTTTATTTATTTATTTATTTATTTATTTATTTATTTATTTATAGTGACACACAGTCACTGCTGAGTACTCTTTAGTATGTATCTCCTTGGAGATTGGCATGGCTATGATGGTCATGGATGAACCATCAATGGTCCATATAAGAAGATGACTTCTACTTTTATTCAGAGGATTCTTTGGGACCCCACTACATGGTGGCTCATGACATTGCTCTTATATCCAAATTACTTGTCGTACATCCCAGAGAAAAGGGGCTGACAGGGCAAACTTTATTTAACCTCCATTCTGTCAGACTGTCTGCATTCCACTCAAGCTGGGCATTCCAGTTCTGGGGGCTGCAATCCCCCAAGGCCAGGGCTCACAACTGATTCTAAGAATAGGAAGTCCAAAGGTAACAGCAGGGCAAGAATGGCAGGCATCGATAGAGATCAAGAGCGGCACAAAGCTGTTCTTGCCCAGAATAGCCAACAGGATCGTGTCTGTTATTATTAGGGCCACAGCTCCTTTTCACAGGGCTTTTCATTCAGCAAGCTTAATCCGCCTGACAAGAGGGATCTAGTGGCAAAAAGAATTCCTGTTCCTGTTTATAGCAGAGTAGCACCCGAGGGAGGTAACTGCAGTGACCTGATCAGGTTCTCTGCAAGGGATAAAATGGCTCCAGGACTTCCTCTTCACTGAAACCCACGTACACTTTTGCACTTCTTACTAAGTGAACCACGTGTACTAGCTCTCATCTAAGACTGGAGGGAATGGGCACTTGCTAACCACAATCTTTGAGGAGACTGGAGAATTTTAGTGCAAGATACATTAACCAGGATGAAATTTAGCTCAGCTTCTCATTTACCAAAGCATGAAACAAGCCAGTTTGCCTATATTTCTGTCTTCTGGGACTAGTGATGCAAGGATTCAAAGTCTTCTGAGCAACCTCTACATCCATGTAATCTTTCCTTACACAGGAGTGCACCTGGGAACCTGCTGGGCATGTCTCAGAGGACAGGAGTTGGAATACTTTTGATTCTATATTAATTTATCCAATGAGGATAGGCTAATATCAAATATCAGTATACCAAGAATATCCTCTTTGCCTTCTTGCACAGGAATTTAGTATCTCATGTATAGATATTGGGTGCAAACAAGTTTTAATATGTTGCAAAGCACGTCTGACTACAATTCTTCGAATGCTATGAATATAGAGAAGAATCAAAGTCCAAAAAAGACTTCACTCCTGGTGAGGCAGCTAAGTTGGTAAGTTAAATATAGGGTGCCAAAGCAGCAGAACTGTCCTGGAACAGTTCTGGATGGAACAGGACTAGAACCTACAAGCTAGTGAAATAGTCACTGGGAGACAGCACAAAGTAGAAGCACAGAGCTGATCAACTGAAGGCTCCAAAGTCAATCCTAGGAACCCTAGGAACAAGCCTGGTGCAAACTGGCAGAAACAGAAAAGAATTCAGGTCTACAAAGGAGAGGTAGAATAGTGGATATCACAGGTCACATGGATCCCATGTGATGTAAACACCCATTCTTTCCAGAATTCTTCACTTGTCCGGGTTTTTCCTGTAGTCCTGTTTTCCCTAGCCCCACCTCAGTTCTTGGTCTTAGTCAACAAATCCTCTGTGCCATGAATTGCAGGCTAGGGTGGTAACTCATTATGAACAATGAATACTGGGGCTAGAGTTATAGGAGGTTGTGGGCCACCTACCTTTTGTCCTCTGTAAGAGCATTAAGTTCTCTTGACTGTTAAACCATCTTCCCAGTTCTGTCTTATTCTATTCTGAACACAGGAATGGAGAGGTTAAAAAGAGATATGTATTGCTATAGCTCCCCTAAAGTAAAGGGATGGGACTGATGCACCTCATGTAACCCACGCAACCCTTGAACTTGTCATCTTCCTACCTTTACTCTCTGACGCTGGGATTATGGGAATGTGCCACCATAAGCAGCTCACTTACCCTCAGGCTGACCTAAATCTAAAGTTTCAAGGTGGCTATAAACACACAGATCTCTAGTTATCAAAAGTCTCTTCTGCTGCATCATTTACTAACACAAATACTATTGTTTACGTAACCCAAGACGTCTGAAGTAAACACACTGAAATAAACGGTACAGAATAGCCTCCAGCAGCACTGGTTTTATTTCCCATCACTATTCCAGGTCTGATATTTGATTTAGAGAGTTCTTTTGCTGTCACTCTACCTTTTTCCTTTCACTCCAACCCCCTTTCAAAAGCTTAGTTTGTTAAGCCACCTCTGAATCCAAAAGAGCAAACAATGTGACCAAAATTCAAAACAAAACAACAATAACAAAAAAAGACAAATAATAGACTGCACTGTGACCACATCTGGGACCCTGGAGGGGCTTCTGCTATGTTTGGATTAAAGGAGTGTATGAAAATTAGGACTTGCAGTTATAGGAGTGAATGTTACTCCATGTTCAGGAGAACCTGGTCTGAAATAGCTACAAATAGAGAAATGGAGCAGGGCCTAAAATGGAGACAGTTTAATACATGGGCTTAGGATGGCACTTCAAGGTTATAGAAGGTCACTTCCTATCCAAACAACAGAATCAAGTCTCACAATGGGGGGGGGGGGGGGGGAGAAGACACTGGACTCTAATGGAGATAGTTGAGTTCCCTCTCTTTTCCTGTCCAAGAAGAGAGCTGCAGGCGTGGTGAGAAAGGTCCTGGGTTGATATGGCTTAAATGGATGAGAAAGACTGTGGAATAATGAAATAGAAAATATGTGTGATAGCAATATTCTAACAAAAACTCCCAGTGCATTCTAAATGAAAGAAAATAATATATCTCTTAATTATATACTGGGCTGTACCTCATAGCCCAAGAAAATGATGTTCCAACCTCATTTTAAGATATCAGTTATAGTTCAAAGAAAAAAGAAAAAAAATGATCAGGTTAAAGTTGACCTTTGATGACCTGTTCTTCTGTTTATGGGCATTTTCCTACCATTTGAAGGAGACCTACAGTAGATTAAAAGTTGTGACTCACCTTACGACCCTGGAAGCAAGGTTTTTGGCCATAATACTTCCTAATGGCTTGACTACTAATTCTTCACTGAGAGGGGCTATTCTGCATATTAGGAAATGTTGTGCTAATATCTCTGACCTTCTACCTTAATTAGATGGCATCTATGACAATCAAAAGTATCTCCAGACATTGCCACACATCCCCGGAGAATAAGATGGTTCTGTCTGAGAATCACTACCTTAGACTTAGGGTCTTTTAGATCCAATGTATCATGCTACTTTCACAGTGATTTTTAAAAGCTGGAAGTTTAACACAGTATATTTCAAATTGTGCCTAGACATCATTAGAGAGATGTGTTATTGTTCATATCAACATTTTAAGAAATCTAAGGAGAAATCGAGTAGAAAATATATAAGTGTATTATACACATTAGGCTACTTCTGTCTCTCATGCATATATCTGCCTATTATATATATATTAAATATGCATGTGTACCTGTGTGTAAGTCTGACCCTATGTGCACTCACTAAAAAGTTTCAATATAAAATTTGTCTCTTACTGTTGACAAAAGTTTTCAGAAAATTTTTAATACAATGATACAATGTAATGGACCAGAAATTTTGAGACAGCCCAAGCCATTTTTCATTTCCCAGAAATATTGGCCTCCTCCAGTATTCTGCAAATTATATACTTAGCACACTAAGTACTGGGTCACTGCTCAGTAGCTCCAATCTATAGAATGGGAGTGGAAGCAGGCCCTTGGGAGGCACAGTGTAGACTCAGGGCCTTTCCCATTAAGTAAGTTGCTTTTGCTGATCTCACACTTGATAAAGCAGCTTCTTTCCCTCTGAGTACTTTCTCAG